CTTGCTCACCCCAAATACTACCATTTTCTTTTTAATCCTGTCTGGCTTTTTGAAGATAACTGCACCTTTAAGGGACTGAGCGTATCTATCAATTCACATCAAAGACCGATGTCCGAGACATTCGAATACCTTGTCTGTCAATAACTGGCAGAAATTCAAAAATTTTCTGATCGTCATTATCTGCTGTGTCTTTGTTCTACGGGCAAATGTGCCCGGAATGTTTCAAAGGTATGTTAATCAAGCCCCGTATGAAGATGCCAGGAGACCAATTACACTTGTGAGCTGCACTTCAGCTTTCTCATTTCCCCGAATCCTGCTGCTCAAACATGGTTATAGCACAGATTTCTTTTCCACACCGAAGAAATAGTTGACCTTGACAAATAGCAGAATGCAGAGAGGGGTTGGTAACATGGAAACGGCATGGGAGTACATCAACTTCTCTGCAGCTCCTGTGGAAAGCAGCAGTGTCATCTTTGTATGAGCTACATTGGTCTGTATTTTCATGAAGGAAAAATAGAGCAGCTTTGTTGCTCAAGGCTTGTTCGAATGTGGCTGTACAGTGAATTCGCAGAACACTCTGAAGCCCTTCATCATGTTTTCAATGATTTGACAAGATACTTGATACTACTTAAAGGGTAACTATGGTATTTTTCAACTTGGAAAACTACTTACTTTCCCATGTTTTTGTATCTGTTGGCGTAATATTTTTCTAAATTGGTTAAGTGTTGAGCGAGAGCGCTGCAACTGGCAGCAGCGAGACAGGTCTGCAATGTAATCCATGCGGGCAATTGTGCCCCGTCAAAGTACATCCACTAAAGTGCTTGTTTTTCAGATTGTTCAGTCATTATTTCGCTCTCTTAAAAGCCACCAGAATCCATTGATAAAACAAAAAGTTATTTTACCTGGCTGAACACGAGACTTGCTGGTCTACCTCTGCCTATGTCAGTTAGATTTTTTTGTGTTATTGTGTGACTTTTGTGTTTTAAGGGTTAAAAACACCTAAGTCACACAATAACTGACCGAGGCAACGGTGGACCAGAGAGGAAAAATTACAGTTTTTGTCAAGTCAGGAGCGTTATAGTAACTTTTTCTGGTTAAACAAAAAGGATCTTACTCTGCTAGAATCCTTTCCACAATGCTGTCAGATACTTGTCAGTGTTAAAAACAAGCACTTAAGTGGAAGTAATTTGTCGGGGCACAATTGCCTGCTAGGATTACATTGCAGCCCTGTCTTGCTGCCGCCGACTGCAGCATGCTCCCTCAATACTGGACCAGGTTGAAAAATGCCAAAGTTACCCTTTAATAGCTGTACTTCAAGGTTCAGGTACATGATTTTGCTTCCTAACTTTGAACAGGAAGCGTTTATTTTCCCTTAACTTTCTTAACTTCCCAAGGTCACTTTAATTATCCAGCTCTCTAACTCCGCAGTCCAAGATGTTGAGGCAAAAAGCCAGTCCTCCTTCAGAGATGAAGTTTGCAGAGAACAGATGTGGGCTGAACAATGTGCTCTCCATCCCTCCAGCTGTTTCTCATTTCGCTGTAGGGCGGACTGAAGAACAGAGGAATCCGTCACCAGTGGAAGCTGTGTCCCAGTAGGACTTGCAAAGCCACATCCCTGTCCTAATCATCGTCTGTCCATCCATCTGCAATGAGATTGATATGCCTCCACGTGTCATGAAAAGCCCCGGCATGCCCCAGCCAGTGAGGGCCTGTTTTTGCTCGGCTGGCATCGGGCTCTGTTCACACCAGGACAAACCTGATTTGACCAGAGGGAGGCTCTTGTGATTGATGATTCCACCACGTATCTCCAGCCACAGCAATCTGGCCTGGCTCTACTGCTGCGCAAATGCTTGTGTGTGGGTGTGCACGTTTGTACAACTGAATGTGACAGTGAATACAAAATCTTATGCAATTGTTTGTACGGTTATTTAGGACAGAAGGATGTTTAGATGTGTGTGCAGTTATGCATGTGTGGAAGCATGCTCACTGGCCGAGTTACATGTGCGGCCTTAGCAGCTCCAGTTATTCGCTTGCTGTTTGTGGTGCAACATTTCCCTGGCATGTGACAAGCTGCGGGCCCACTCTAACCAGACTTTGTTAAAGAAAGCTTAAAATGCCAACGGGTTCCCCTCACACCTACAGGTTTCCTTAACTGTGGTTGTAATCAGCACTGAGAAGTGCAGTCCATGCCTCGGCTCCCAAGCTGGAAGCTTTCCACACTGCTTCTTCTTCTTCTGCTACTTCCTTTTTTTTTGTTTTCTTAAATGTCATCTTCCATCATGTCCATCTCCGATGGTGTTCCTAAGGGTAACAAACACCATCATTATTGCAAGACAGCATGAATCAATTCCTGCCATCCATGGCAAGGTTTTGGATTACAAGTTGATAAAAGATAGATACACTTGAAAGTATAATTAAATACAGAGCAAAAAGGGTTTGATCATATTAGGATGGATGTCAATTAGCAACTTTGTCAACCTACAGAGGTCGACTAAGGTGCACAGGGATTCAGTATATTGGCTTTCAAAGCAACATTAGTCCAGATGATCTGTCCAAAAGTAGAATTATATAATATGTCATGGGAAAATCGTAACAACATATGCCCCAGGAGCAGACAAACTGCATCAACCAAGAAGGACAGCGGTCAAAAGTTGAAACTAACTAACCCGAGGGGATGTGATGGACAGCTACAGTATAAATTGGGGTTGACAAATACACCTAATTGACATGAAACCTAGCAAGCTATGACCCACATCTGCTGCAGTGCTCCCAAATATCTTTAAGCTTTTTGAAAGTAATCTCTCTCTTTTCACGGCAGCCTTGTGTCATTTTGTGCTCACCTTGTGTCTCTTGCTGTGTAGGAACCAAAAGCAGGACGCACACATACAGAGGCACGCAAACACACACCAACCATAATGACATAAATGGCATGTAATGGTGATGATATGGTGCTAGAGGGAAAAATAAATCAGTGATGTAATGTTTCCGGTGAAAGCGTGCTTCATGCTGCAGTTGAAGCCAATGCGAGGGGCTCCATCTACTGTCCTGTTTCGTGAACTTCATGAACTGTGTGTTCTGACAAGGCTGCAGCTGACTCACTTCAGCTCCCTGCCCGTAAACGGAAAGGGACAGCCAGACTCAGCAATCAGGCTGAGGCGGTATAATTTATGCCTGTGAATTATGGATATACCAAGCAAGTGAAGGCCAATATATGTTTTATACCATGCTCCCCTCCATTTATTTTGGTTGGGGTTATGACTTGATAGCTGGCAGTTCTATTGATGATGGACTTCCTGATTTATCCACTCAAGTCAGGCACAACCATCAATTAAGGCGCCTTGCCAGGACAGATATGCCAAATGTACTGTCACCTGTTGTTTATGACTGACTGACTGACTGTGCTCTCGCGAGTTGGCTTCCTGCAGAACGGGGCGGCTCTCCACTCATTCTGCTCTGCCACTGTGATTACTCCCAGCCATGAGGCACTAAAACAATGTGCATTTCCAGCTGCAATTTGTGCAGCCACTAAACGAGCAGCATCTATATTCCATCTTCATTAAAACATCGACTTCTTTTTATATGATTATCAGGATTACAATAACTGTAAACTATGAGGCAACCCTATACGTAGCATTGTTTTATCACGTCACTTTATAACCCCATTGAAGTCGGGAACATATAATTTCTCACAGATAGACTGCTATGTATATACTATCCATTCCCCTGGAAGCCATCGCCAGCAATTTCCTTCCTCTTTCATCATTCTAAATGCGCCTAAATGGTTTAGGTGGGGGGGAGTGAGCGGCAATAACCGCACCTTTGCGTCAGGAGGGGAATTTTGAATCTTTGATGCTTTCCCTGGCATGAAATGTACTTACAAATACCTTTGTGGGAGCAAATAAAAGGTTTAATATTTAATTAGGCCTAAGGGCATCTCACAATAACGGGCACATTTCTGATCAATGGTATGATGGACGAATCTTCGCTCACCGTCAGTCTGTGTGAGGTGAAAGCCTTGCTTCCTCCTTTAAATGTTACTACAGTTACTTACACGGAGACTGCACTTTGGGGAGTTCGGTTCATCATGAAGCATTTACAATGTACTTCCTGGTATGGTGAGCTGCCAGCCAGAGCCACTGGATTCGTGTTTGTATACATCTGTGAATTTTAAGAATTCTGACTTCAGATGATTAGCATGAATGATGAATGGCGAATGATGATGAAAAATGTATTTAGGCTCTCTTTGTGCCAACGCTGATGAAACTTTCATGATCCCTGCGGGGAAAGCGGGCATGTCATAGTGTACTGTGAGATTGGATTGCATAATCGAGAGTCTTAACTCGCCGCAGCCAGAGGGGAGTTTTTGAAGACCCCCTTTTGTTTGCCATTTTTTGTGTGTGAGATAACAAATGCCACAGAGGTCAGACATCCAACCCTGCTGTTGACTGCTAAACTAGGGAGCATCAAATTGACAGTGATCCTCTTTGCAAACACTTTCAGTAAATTCGTTGCCTGTCAGCCAAAGAAATAGCAGAAAAGTGCAGTTTTCTTGCATTTATGTCATTCAGAATATATAGTTATTCAACTAAAATAGGTTTTGAAAAAGCTTTGGTATTATGAAGTGACATGTCATTGAATCCCACATGACATTTTGCCATAGGTTTATTGTTATGTATCGTATATGTTGCAGATATTTTCACACAGGCAGTCTCATTGTCAGGGCTACAGTATATTTATTATAATATATAAAAATGAACATTTCTAATCTAATCTTCTATCTTCTATCTTCTTCTATAATCTAATCTTCTAATCTTTCTAATCTTGTTTAGGCCGGGTTGCTGTTTGATGATCTCTCTTTGCTTCTCGTCTTGATATTATGAATAAATGTTACTATAACCATAATACCAGCCATGTACACCTGGGGGCCTGAGCAGGATAATTTTGAGGACCCTGCCTAGCAGTAGATAGAAGGTGAAGTATTCATACAACCAGCTACTGTATGCAATTATAACCCTTATATATTTTATTTGTACCTCTAGCAACATGACGGGCCACAGTTCTTTTACTGCTAATAAAATACACTCTGAAACATTCAAAGTAAAACTCTAAAATGGCATTAACTGTGTTTGTCCCATAGACTGTATATAAGGACGTGACTCCAAACCTGTCGTATTAACACAGAAAAAAAGTGATAATATTTCATCACAGTCTGAAGAACTACCAATGTAAAGAGCAAAACACCTTCAGTACAACACAAATGTAAGATTCAAAAGGTTCAGATCGGCAGTATATTAAAATCAAGGACCCCTAAAAACCAAGTTGGTCTTTACTTGGTCAGACAGATTTGATGGCCTCTGAGCAGGATCAGTTGGTGGAGGTGGAGAAGAGATCTCCGAAACAGAAGAAGTTGGTTGGCATTCATCAGAGGTTACCATTGGAGCTGTGGGTTGAAATTAGTTGTAATTAGTCATGGTTATTTTAATTTTGAAGTCCATTAGTATAAAACATTAATCATGATCATTATAACTAAATCATACATAAGGTGAATTTGTTGTAAAGAAAAAAACATATTATGAATTTACATGCAATACAGTCATAGGTAGTATTAGTAGTAAAAGAAGATAAATCACACAAGGACAGTGCATATTAGTAAGTCTGTAAATTAAAAACCCTTTTTTTAGCTGGAGTGCAAGTAGTTATTATTGTACAGGCAGCACACATAACTATTCAAATTTTTCACTTACCAGCGCTTTCATCATCTCTGGTTGTGTCAGCATCATGACCAAAATACTTCATTATTGCTCCTGAGGAGGAAGTGTAAGTGAATATAAATCAAAGGGGTAAATACCTAAGCAGCTTCAGATTAGTATGTGTTTGTTTAATTTGACTAATCTGAGACATGTAGAAGATTACATTACTTTTCACTGTGAAAAGCCCTTAAAGACAGCCGGGATGTGGCGACAGAGCATGCTTACAGTGTACACCTGCATCTGGCTACTTTACAACTTTTTAGAAGTGACTAAAACAGATGTGTTTTGTCACTAAAAGTTCACCATCTGGTAAATCTAACATTACTTACAACATTGTGCTTGTTGTTTCTTCTAATTTCATCAACCTTCTTCTAATTTTCACTCCCGATTCGCGAAGCGTTCACTCACCCTAGTCGCCCTATAATAAAAGACTGTTTGTAGTTAGCAACACATTAGCAGCAACAAGTGCCAGTTCTATGTAAATACGTGACTTAGGGTTTCCAGTTAGACGATCAGTCAATTCAGCAAACAACGCATGAGCTTGGGGGCCCCCTAAGCAGCCGCTTGTTGGCTTATAGGAAGGGCCGGCTCTGGCTGTAGTTATGAGTACTGTTGAACGTTGCCTCACTTCATATCTTAAGTAAGGATGCAGCATTGAATGAGGGGCTTTAGTGTTATGGTGATGGCTTTGCAAATGACAAAAATAAAGTGCAAATGTTTTTGCATTATTCTTTTGGGAAACATTTTAGACATAGGCTAATTTGGCACAGCAGCTAGCATCAGAGGAGCCTTACTGACTAAACCTCCCTGTTGTGTAAATTAGCACACATGCTCGGTGGCGCTAAAGCCTTCAATGTAGTACTATCAAAATACACAAAGCTTAACAGCTGCTGTCAAAGCTTTGTGACCGCTGTGAAGGAGTCAACACACTTAAGCCTGCTGTCACTGCTGCAAGATTTTTCTGTAAATATTTCTGAGTGCTAAACAAAGCAGCATGTCACATTTTTAATCCCTGTTCCCTGCCTTCAGTTTTAATCGGAGAGATCCTGCACTCTTGAGCCACATAGCAATGAGGGAAAAACGTGTGATCTGCTTTGGAGACTTTTGTTCTGCTGCCACTGAACTTACATCAGAGAGCGTTGATACCTCCGAGACAAGGCACAAAACATATAAATGTCCAATTATAGTTGTTTCAAAGAGAGATGCATTTAAAAAATTAATAACGGGGGCATTACATAATTGACAACGATTGGTTATGTAAGCAGCCCAAATACAAAGAACAGGGTATTGTCTGTTTCTGAAATGGCATAGGGTGTGCCTGTGTGTCTGTATTTGTGTCACTGCGTATGTTGCCACGTGCACAGTACATTTAACCATATATATATATATGTGTGTGTGTGTGTGTTTATTGTAAGTTCATGAACACGTATCTGAAAAGAACATGATGTAGAATGAGGACAAGCCCCTGTTGAAAGCAGTAAACAGTCTCTTTTAAAAACTCCAAGTTGCTCCAGTGTCAAGGTGCATTCAGTCTGCCGCCCTCCCAGAAGCTGTTGACCTGCTCTGTTCTGTTTTCTCCTTGCTTCAATTCAGCATGAAGGTTGCTCTGTCTGATCTATGAATGGCTGAGGCTCTGTACAGTATTTCCCTCAGAACCAGAATACAAAAATAGAGGATCCCAAGGCTCAATGAATTATCACCTCTACATGCCAGTTTTGTGTCTCGCACACAGATTTGCATACCAGCCTCCACTGAGCTGTCTTTATTCGTCTTCTTCAAGTCTGATATTGTCAGTCAAAATTTTAAACTTAAGTTTCTCTTATTTATCCACATCCATCAGCATGGTTTCCTTACACAAGGGACAAAGAGGAATTGTTTGCTTTTCAGAAATGGCTGCGATTTATCATAAGATTGCAGACTGCAGTTACTATGAGACCAGGAATGGTCTGCTATTGAGATAAATCGTCAGAACAAAAACATTGAACTCAAATTGCCGTGTATCCTTGGGCAGTATTCTCCATCCAGGCTGTGGGTGTATTCTAGGTTAAGGTTCTAGGTTCGCAAATAATTGAATCAATCAAGAGCAAGAACTCTTCAGAATTTCCAAACTCACACCCGATGAATTTTGAAGAATTTATAAGAAGAAGAGGACAGATGGTGGATAGTTAGGTTTTAGGATTTGATGTGAGTTCATGTCCCTACTTGCTATTCAGAACCTCCCATACTAATGCCACTCTACTTCTTAACTACAGCCCTACCCAGGGGACAGGTTCCACGCAAGTTGTTCCTAACCAAAGCAATGAGTCCTCACAATGAGAAAAAGTATGGGGGACCTAAGGGTGCATCGTACGCTTCATGGTAGCAGCAAATACTTACATTGCCTATTGCTGCAGAGATTAAAAAAAATAATCAGAATCTGTAACTTTCTCTTAACAGATAAAAGACTAAATCTTTAATTAACCTTGTTGCTTTGTTAGCGGTATCTTGTGGGTTAACAAGAAATCTACAAAGGAAATGACAAATGTATGCGCTATGAGAAGCCCTAATTAGCAGTAGGAATCCCAGTTGTTACATGTTTTCATTTACTGTCTGAGGACTGAAATTCTTTTTCCTTTTGCACTTTTTGATCATTCCGAGCTCTGAATGCAATTCATCTGGAGTGGGTTTTTTCCCGGTAGTCTGCATTTCTTGGTTTGTATTCCAATCCTCTTTTAGTTCCCACTTCTTTCATTATTATTTGGCTCAGTTTCCTTTGAGGTGTGTGTGTGTGTGTGTGTGTGAGAGAGTGTGAGTGGTGTGAGGGGGGGGGTATTAATAATGTTGTAGGGACATAAATCTGTTCACACTGTGGGGACTTGCCTTCCCTATGGGGACAAAATGCAAGTCCCATTCAGTTTTAGGGTGAAGACTTAGGTTTAGTGTTAGGCAAGTAGTGGTCATGGTTATGGTTGGGGTAATTCTCCAGGGAATGAAAGTAAGTCAATATAATGTCCCTGAAAATGGTGGAAGCACGACTGTATGTGTGTGTGTGTGTACAACTTTCTTTAACTTAATCATTTTTAAGGAGCCCTTAATTCCCACAGAAACCTGCATTTAACTCATGAGCAAATTTGCTTTGACCAAGTTAAAAAAATAAATAAAAAAAACTTTACAGACAGCTCAGGTCTAGCCCAAATCCATCCAGTGACAGTACTTAAGCTCCTGTCTACCTAGAAAGGTAAGAAAGCAGCTTGATCCTTGACTAAGGATTACAGAATGGATGAAAAGGGGGAAAAAGACGGATGGATCGTGCTCTACTTATTTGGGTAGAGTCTCCTTGAATTGCTTGAATGTTCTCTGTAGTGAGATACAACTGCTAATCAACGACCCACATCAGAAAACTCTGCTTTTGAGGATAATTCTTATTTATTTCAACTTTTATATAATTTTGAAAGGTTTGGTCATAATTCCTATCTGTAATAATAACTTTGCACTCATTTAGTTAATTGCTTGGATCTTGGTAAACGGCAACATTGCTGAAAAGAAGTCAGATGTGGCGGTCAGACAATCAAACAGGATGTCACAGGTAAAATCCCCAGGTTAGCCAAACTAATTGGGAAGAGAAACCGAAAGCAAATGGGAAAATTATTACCAACATCCATTACAGTGTACAGGCCGACTTCCTGCTTCAGCTTTGGCCTAATGTACCTGCCATAGCAGTGCAACCAGTCTTCTGTCAGCACAATAAGTTGGCTTCCATTCAGTTTTACCTCCAAATAACATGGTTCAGATAATCTGATTAAATTGTTGAGTTGTTTACAACCTTTCTGAAAGTGTGAACGATCGCATTTCTTGCCTCATCAGACGTTCTCGTAGCAATATCGCCACGCTCCCTGATTACTTTGGTGACTCCGGTGTTATCATAGCTGAAATAAACGATGGCCAAACCTACATAAATAAGAGCTATGTTGCAATAAGCAGGAGTTATCCTTTAAGTGAGAGCTGAACTGAAATCCACTCAGGTACGTAGATGCCATCAGACTGTCACTTCCAAAAGTGTAAAAACATTTACAGACATGACAACATGACTTTTTTTATAGACAAGCTACAAGTATTACTTTTTATATTCCTTACATATCAAACTTTTTGTCCCAACTTGCTATAGTATTCAAATGTGCTTAAACCTGCTCTGTGCACCCTCACATCACCAACATTTAGCCAAGACTAAATTAGAGCAGCAACTAACAGTTGTAATTATCAACTACTGCCATGAATTGAATTGTTAAGTCTGTAAAATGTCAGAAAATAGAGACCTGAGGTAACATCAGTGCCATATTTCTACTGTTAACCTAGCAATCATTGCGATGATAACTTACCAGAGTTGTAAAGTCCTGTGAGTTTTATAAACCCTTGTGCAGTGCTTTGGCATCCGATAAGCCTTTAAACACATTGAACTGTTACTTGAACTACACTTCCTGGATCGTGTTTTATTGCGGTTATTCGGTCTGAATCCCGGCTTAAACACTTATACGAAGATGGTACCAGATTCGTTATGGTTCACTGATGAAGGCCTGTTTTTCTGAAACACATAAAACTGATATAAAAACAGATGTAAAGTTAACTACAGACGCCTGTGCTGCAGCACCTTTTTGTTTTGTAGTGCTGCTGTTTGATTTGTTTCACTGTAACACCACCCAGTCGCATGAAAAAAGCACACCTGTCCTGAATCTCAAAGTGTCATGGCTTGTTGTTGTTACTCGTGTTTTGTTCATGCTGTGCCAGCATATTCAACAATGCAGCATCTATTCATGTTACTGCCTGTTTTTTATGCAGGAGTCACCACCGTCTGTTTTTGCTATGGCTCCCTTGTAGTTGGTCTTTGTCTTGATATATTGGTTGTCTCCACTGCTGAATTGTAAGTGGGCTTGCCTTTCATTGTCCTTCATTCTGCCACAACTCCACTGTAAGCCATTTATGCCATCTGCTTGCAGAAATTAGACATTCTCATTGAGATGTTCCAGCGTTTCAAACTGTGTTTTTCCCCCAAACACAATCAGACCCACAGAAATGACTGG